TGTTAGTAAACCCTATAGCTTAAACACCATGTGAATGATTGATTTGTTGTATTTATTAATAGTGTCAAACAAGACATACACACACACAACCACACACACACACACACACACACACACACACACACACACATATATATATACAGTACAGAAAAATTATGTTTTTTTTTTTAGTATTTTTCATGTACAGTTGTTTGAATTCTGGATGAGGAACTGGAAGATATGGAGAAATGACTGTGTGAACTTCTACCCTCAAATTCATGGCTAAAGTCAAGAGCCTTTCCAGAAACTTCTAACTGACATTTCCAATTTGACATGGTTAAAAAGAGTTCCCATGGTTGCTCATAAAGGGAGCTGGCACTCGAGCCAGATGACTTGAATTAGCACCCATGTTTAGAGAGGAATCTGGGACTGGATAGCCTCACTGCCTATTTGCCCTTGTTATTATTATTACCTCAGAACTACTGTCTCTAAAATAAATTTAGTGGTGTCTTCCTATCAGTAAGGATCTGGAAAAATTCCTACAACCAAATTGACCACCTTTTAAATTTCACATTGTTTAATCTAGATGCTATTTGTTTATCTATTTTTAACTTTGTGTACAAAATAATATTTCTTTGTAGCATTTTGATTCATATTTAGTGTGAATTGATTTTCCTACCTTGGTAGACTCCTCGCTTCCATTGCATTAGCAGCTGCCCCAGCTTTTCCCTTCGTTCTCCAGCCATCCCTGTGGTATTTTCATACCACATGTATCTTGTTACTCTCCCAATTTCCTCCTATTAAACCTTTGTTTTTTTCCTTCCTTCATGGGCTTTTACTTTAATTTTCTGAACTCAACCTATTCTTACTCCTACATAAATACACATATGTAGGAATTAGAAGGCTTGCTCCACATGTGAGAAAGAACATGCACTGCTTTTCTTTCTGATCCTGGGTTACATCACTTAATATTTTCCAGTCCACATCTTATTCAAGACTCATTACTGTTCTCAGATGTTTTATTTACTGTTTTACATTACTTACCAGACCATATCCAACTCCAAATAAGTCAGGATTCAGAAGGACTAAACACTACCATTTTTCTCATAGGAGGTATTCTTCCAATGTACGCTACAAGTGATACAAACAAAATATGACAGGCAACCAAATATTTCATTTATAAATTTTTATTGTACATGTTTATGTTGTGTCTATGCATATTTTCTCATTATAAGAAAAAAGTTGTAAAAGAGACTAATTACTAAAAACAAAAACAACAACAGTCAAACTAAACTAAACAAAAAGGAAAAGAAAATCTATAATACTTGCTGTTTGTATGTTTAAAAAAGTTTGCTATTCTCTGTTATATAAATTTTTCTACCTGCTAAAACCCAAATCTTATCAGTTGGTTTTGTTTTTATTTCTTCATAAAATTTCAATTTAATTCAGTGAAGCATGTTATAATATGGAAAGGCTAATGGCCGAATTCCTTTGTCAGTTCTCCAGTTTGACTATTAAGGTGTTTTGATTGTATACTTTCATGGAAATTTTGAGAAAATTAGGTTTTTTTTAACTTAACAGTTTTAGTAATTCAATAATATATTAGAGACATATGACATCGGTTGTTACCAGAATTCTAGAACCTAAGAGAAACTGCACACTGGATAATTAGATAATTAAACCACACACCAGATAAAGACAATGTCTTCGTGCCTGTGTCTGACACTAATGCTTCACAAAATCTTTTCCAGGCTTCATCTCTCCCCTTTCTTTATAGAAGGGACTCAAACTACTTGACATGAAAGGCTGGTTTTTAGATTTTCCTTGATAGTCTTACTCATTTTCAATAAAATGATTACTATAAATCTGTTTTGGACAGGGGTGTTGCAGTTATACAAAACTGCTAGAGAGTTACTAAATGTGCACTCTTGACTTCTGCACTTCTCTCCACCTCTCCCTTGAAGCTCCTTGAAACAAAGAATTTGTGAGAAGCAGCTGATGGGTGCTGGTATGGCCAGGCCCAGGAATGGAATGTTGAAGTCACAGGACACAGAAAAGGTGGTCCTCATATCTAAGATTTGTATGGATTCCAGGATAAACCAAGAAACGGAAATATTCCTCCTCATTCCACAGGAAGAATCTTCAGCACCGTTACGTTTATTTTTCATAGCATCTTTAAGAACTGAGGACCACACCTCTCCAATACATTTCAAAATATTTCCAGTCACCCTTGTATTCAGTCAATCATAGTTGTAAAAATAATGTCTGAACATATATGATGCTTCACAGATGGTTGTAGTTACTGAGCATGACTCTTTGAACAGGACAAAAAGAATCCCATCTCTGATATGGTTATCATCATAATAAGGAAATGAGAAGAAAAGCATTCAAATAACCAATAAAAAAAAGCACAAAGAATGGTGCAAGTCAGGGAGGGAGAAGAATTGAATTTGCTAGTGACAAAGTGACAATAGTCTCTGTAGATAAAGAAGTCCTTTCCTAGCAGTTGCTTTGAGACTAAAATGGAAATGGCAATGAGTGAAGGTTTTTTTTTGTTTGTTTGTTCATCTATTTGTTTCTCTTTTTTTTGAGATGGGAAATGGTCACAAAAGCATAATAAGTTCTGCATCCCTAGTTCAAACCTTTAAAATCTGAGATATTCTGAATTCCTGAACTTAGTATTTTCACACAATTGAGGAATTCCATACCTTATCTTGAATAAACCTTACAGTAAACCCAGGTTTTCTAAAGTAGTACAAAAACTCTCTTTGAACAATGGACCAAAAAAAATGTAATGTATAATTAGAAAATATAGGTTGTTAATGGATAATCATTGATAATAGTCAAGCTTGTAGTCATGTTAGTTAGATTTTCTAGATATATAGAGATATATTTCAATTGGATAGGCATTCTTCATACCTTTCAAAGACTGCAGAATATGGCATTTAAAATATTTTAATAACTTGGGACAAGGAGACACACGTCTGCTCCTGGCAGCACCAATCTACTTCAGGAAGAAGATGGGCATCGAAGAGGATCCTTATGGAGTTTGATAGCCATTTGGGCAAAAAACTACTCTTGCCTGGACTATTACATAAACTGGACACAGAGAACCCGCAGAGAGAGGACTACTGAACTTGCCTAAAGGTGAGATGGTCTTTCGGGGTGTGAGACATTCTGCAGGACACAACAAAAAGTGACTAAACTGTCTTTGAAATTTCCTGCTTCGTGGAAATGTCTGCTGGATACTATGGGCCTGTAGGCCAAAGATGGATGCCTCAACGGTACAGAGAAACTTTGGGTGACTGTCCAGGCAGCAAGATGTCTCTGTCATTTCTAGAGTTTTGGACTTCCTGTTTACTTAGGTAGTATTATATCCTTCTGAAATCTTTGGTGGAGTTAAAAAATAAATAGTTATAGTTTTCCTTAGTTATGATAAGAGATAAAATAGATATAAATATTGTAACTGTAATTCTTACTTGATAACTATTTTGCTATATGTAATTTTACTATGTTAAAATGAAAGCCTTCTGTTTTGTTTAAACAGAAAAAGGGGAAATGATGTGGGAGTGATTTCTTACTAATAAAGAAACTGCCTAGGCCCGTTTGATAGGCCAACCCTTAGGTAAGCGGAGAAAGCAGAACAGGATGCTGGGAGAAAGAAGCTGAGTGAGGAGTCGCCATGATTCTCCCACTCCAGACAGACGCAGGTTAAGATCCTCCCTGGTAAGCCAGCTCGTGGGCTACACAGAATATTAGAAATGGGTTAAAACAATATATAAGAGCTAGCCATTAAGAAGCTGGAACTTATGGGCCAGGCAGTGTTTGAAAGAATACAGTTTCTGTGTAATTATTTCGGGGCATTAGCTAGCCATGCAGGCAGCCGAGTGCCGGGGACACAGCCCCGCCGCTCCTACTTCAACATTTCTGGCTGAATTTTCAAAGGGGTTTGATCCTGGTCCTGTGAACAAAGTTAAGACATACACCATGATGCTCTGATATGTGTCCTTCTGCTCATAAAACTATCATGGAATATCATGATATGTGTGCTTCTGCTCATAAAACTAACATAGAATATCATCAAACAGTACCATTACATGTTTATATATCTGTTGTTGACAAAAATGATGCCTAAAATGCCAAAGAGCAAAAATATTGACCAAACAGTGATGCAGCCCACCATTTCCTATTGAACACATTGAACAGAGTCTTCTCTATTTTTCTTTTGGCTTAAGATGTGTTCTTCATTCTTCTTAGGTAATATTTGTTATAATTCCTTATCATAGCAAACGTCCTGTTTCTGGACAGAAACAACCCAGGCATAGCTCTGCTTCCTGATTACCTCAAAATCATTCATGAGTCAAATCCAAAAACTATGACTGCACTATCTCTAATATCCACCAGAGTTCGCTGAGTTGAGTGCACTGTCTCACTGTCGAGATTAATCAACCCAACTTGCTCCTTGGCAGTTGTGCTTCTGGCAATCTTTTGCTCTAATCACCGTGACAGCAATGTCCTCATGTAAGCTCACCTTTGAGTGTTGTCTTCTCCTCATTGTTTGTCAGGAAAATTTCATTCTTGTCTTTCCATTCGACACTTGTTTAAAATACTGAGCCATAAAATATTTTAAAATATGGTAATAGATCAAGTACATTAATTATCTTAAATATTAATATGCATTTCTCTCCAAATATGGGAATAAGATCTTGGTAACTATGTCATTGAATTTTAAGGAAGTCTATGCTTAGAAAGGAGTGGGAGAGAATTTAAATGAGGCAAAGGCTGAAAAAGAGACTGAAAAGCAAATGAGGGGGAGAAATTGGAAAATGAAGAAAGAAATGCCCAGGAAGGGATGCCACAAAAGATACAGAGGCCTAAGTCAATCTGACATGGGGCATTTGTTTGCATCTGCCTTACCCTCAAAGTCACCATGGGTAGGAAGAGACAAGTACATCACTGCAAAAAAGAACAAAGACTACCATCAAAGAGTGATTTTCTGTATATAACTGCAACACACAAAGGAGAGNCCAGCCTGACGGCCAGATGCCAAGTGACAAGGCCATTGGGGGAGGAGACGACTCCTTCAACACCTTCTTCAGTGAGACAGGAGCTGGCAAGCACGTGCCCCAGGCAGTGTTCGTAGACCTAGAGCCCACGGTTATTGATGAAGTTCGCACTGGTACCTACCGCCAGCTCTTCCACCCTGAGCAGCTCATCACAGGCAAGGAAGATACTGCCAATAACTATGCCCGTGGCCACTACACCATTGGCAAGGAGATCATCGACCTCGTCTTGGACAGAATTCGCAAGCTGGCCGACCAGTGCACAGGTCTTCAGGGCTTCTTGGTCTTCCACAGCTTTGGCGGGGGAACTGGCTCTGGGTTTACCTCCCTGCTGATGGAGAGGCTCTCTGTTGATTACGGAAAGAAGTCCAAGCTGGAGTTCTCCATCTATCCAGCCCCCCAGGTTTCCACCGCTGTGGTTGAGCCCTACAACTCCATCCTCACCACCCACACCACCCTGGAGCACTCTGATTGTGCCTTCATGGTGGACAACGAGGCCATCTATGACATCTGTCGTAGGAACCTCGACATTAAGCGCCCCAACTACACCAACCTCCTCATTGGCCAGATTGTGTCCTCCATCACTGCTTCCCTCAGATTTGATGGAGGCCTGAATGTCGACCAGATTAGAAAATCTGAGACAACGTTTAATTGTTCAGAAACACAGCATTCAAATGTGATTGTTGAATAGAACCTGCAGTGTCTGCCTTAACCCTTTCTTCTCCCCAGGCTATACCTTTTATTTATCTTCACTAACTAACAGTGTTAATAAATTGTGATTTCCTAATAGTTTTCAGAATCATTTACTCTCATCACCCTACTTCCTGGCAATAGCCTTCAAATTATTATCCAACCTCCAGCACATTTCAGTTTTGCTTTAGGAGAATCAAGAAGTTTTAAGACAAATGACTATCTTGATGGGTAATATTAACAGGCTCCAGAATCATGTAAGAGACTACCTTGTTGTCTTGTTTTGTGGCAGTTTTGAATTCAGCAATTTGTTTGGAAAAATTCACCACAAACATTGTTGGTACCATTCCACGAACTGGAGTACTAGACTGAATGCAAAGAAGAAAATGATCCGAGAAACTTGCTTCAGTTCATGGCTGCCAATGCTTCACTTCTATTAGAAAAAAATCTACATTATGATGGATGTACCATTATCCTGTGAATAAAAAAAAATATAATAAAACATCCATTTCTTAAATTGCTATTGTCGGGTGTTTTTTCATGAAAATATAACAAGCACAACAAAAATATTTTACCTTCTGTCCTTATTCTCACTACATTGTGAAGCTATACCTTGCTTTTTCAATTTTATGTGAGAATAGTTAAGATTCAGAAAATTAATCATATTCAAATTCTCAAGTGATTATCCACAATTGATTTTAAATTTTGCTTTATACTCTTGTGTTGTTAAGAGATTCAGGTTTTCCTCCAAGAACTTCAACAAAAGATTTCCTTCTGGAATTTGCCTCATGTTTTTTTTTTTTCTGATATTAATTATTTTCTGCTTTCTTTTGATTTCACTTTTATTTTTACCCCCTTCTCCTCTCTCTTTTTCTGTGTGTTTGTTCTCTCTCTGTGTTTCTCTCTCTCTCTGTGTTTCTCTCTCTCTGTGTTTCTCTCTCTGTGTGTTTCTCTCTCTCTCTCTCTCTCTCTCTCTCTCTCTCTCTCTCTCTCTCTCTCTCTCTCTCTCTCTCTCTCTCTCTCTCTCCACCATTTTTTTGTTTGTTTGTTTGGGAACATGTCCTCAGTGAAGTCTGATACCAAACTACCATGTAGCCTTGGCTCCTGTTTGAACTCCTGATCCTCCACTCTTGACCTCTTAGATGTGGTGGTTGCATGACTAGCTTGGTGTTCATTCTTGATTTGTTTTTCCTGGGGATGCTCTTAACCACTAGCCAGGATGTCTTAGATTCCCATTGAAACCACATGACACCCATATGATGTGGTTTGGATTCCTACATACCAAATACTTAGGGTTCAACACTAGACTGTCCTGAGGAATGATATGTGAAAATAAAGCTTTGGGATGCCTGATTTTATGTTTGAATCTTGTTAGCATTATACATGTACCTATAAAAATCATAAGAAAATTTTAAATTTGTCTTTTTGGATGACATCACTTTATTTTAAAAATATGAATCATGTTCAGTTGCAATACTGACATAACACTAAAATGTTGCCACTGGAAAGATATTTCAGTGGTTAAGCACACTGTGATTCTTTAGAAGAAACTTGATTTGGTTCTCAGGATCTACGTTTGGCAGCCCACAGCTTAAGCTTCTCTTCTGGACGCTGCAGTCACTTCATGTGTATTCATTTGCATTATTCTCTCTGTGTATACGCATGTGTATGTATATAAACACACTAAAAAACAAAATCTTTTTTTTTTTTTTTTTTGGTTTTTCGAGACAGGTTTCTCTGTGGTTTTGGAGCCTATCCTGGAACTAGCTCTTGTAGACCAGGCTGGTCTCGAACTCACAGTAAAAACCAAAATCTTAAAAAAAAGTATATTCTATTTTGGAAAATGTGAAAGCTGATATATTGTCAGTTCATATGTTGAGCATTTTATCTCTTCTGGAAATAATGAATAGTAGACACAGTGAAATGTAAATTCTTTACATGAGGTCTGGTGGTTGACTAAAATTATATATTTAGATATTAGGTCACATTTTGTTAATTTCCATGTTATTTCTCACAAATTAGTACATAGCATCATCTTTAATTTATTGATCCTTTATTATGTATTATAAATGTTTGATAAATGTAGCTGGATCTTCAAGTTGGTTAAAACATAGAAAATACTGTTTCCTAAATTCACTTTCTATCTACAGAATGAAAGGTAGTGTAATATATAACGTGGTATCCTCCTTTGCAGGCAATATGTGACATACCATAATTTGGTGTAAAGGCACTTAAAAATCTTTCAGAGAAGATTCTAAAAAGTTTTCAGTTCTTCTGGAAAATAAATTGGATGTTGTTGTCATAGCTAACTGCCACCTGTTTTAAAGGTGTAAATCCATAGTAGTCTTTATATAGCTGAAAGACTAGGCACCATGTTGCATTATTGATCAATAATATAACCATGGCTTAAGGGAGTATGAGACATTAAACACTATTTATTCCCTTGAGATGCATAAACATGACTCTTACTTAAAGCATGGATATTTGCAGACACGTAGAAAAGACAGTCTAAAAATGTGAGCAAAGTTATACATTAAGCAATGACCAGGATACTCTCCAAAGGAATCAATGTAGTCAATAGAATGCAGAAATAAGAGACTGTATCAGTCCAAAGCACAGAGACTAGGTATCATGGTGACACTGGCATTACACGTCTTATTAGCAGACATCTTGATATGGAAAACTGTGTTTTCCAACATTACCCTCTCCTCAGTAAGAAAAATTAGGTTCTTATTTTATCACCCAAGGAACAGCTTAAACAGACTCTGCATTCCAGATCAGTATCATGAAGACAGGAGCAAAAGACTCTGAATTTAAGAGATGAATTACACTTCTATTCCCTCCCAATTGCTAAAAGCTTAGAGAGGAACAATAATTTCATCCAAATTGTCTGGCTTTCATGCTACATATTAGAGCCAGACATGTAGTAAACCAGATGCAATTTGAGACTTGTGGAATTTATTTCTGAGCCAAGTTAGAAGCTGAATTAATAGACTTTTACTTTTACCTTTGTTGCAATGAGAAAGCTGAAGATTTTCCAGCATATTCCTACCAGATGGCATGCTCTATTGCCTACAATTTCACTCCCTGCTGTGGATTGCATCCAACTTTGTTTCTTTAGAGGTGAAGAAGAAAAAAAAATGTGACTCTGCCTATTTGTGTGGCAATCATTGCATTAGAGAGAGCAGGGTCAGTCTGTTTACTTCTAGCTATGGTGCAGCCTGACCGAGCTCTGGATGCTTCAGCCTCTTAGGGATAACAGGCTTTCTTGAAATTTAAAAAAAAGGAATATTAATCAAAATTGGAGTGGCAAACAAAGTGAATAAATAAGTAAATAAAAACTATTGAATGTTCATGACAAATCTGGTCACAGTATTCATATTTAGGGAGTCTAAAAGTCATGAGAAAAAAGAAAAGCTTAATTTGTTGTTCAGAGTTAACTGAAAAAATTCACCACATTAAAAGAAATGTTTAGTCAGTGGAAGAGACATTCCTAAAGGCAGCATTTCAGTTGCAAACATGGATTCACAACTCACAACTGCAGATTAAACTCTTAAAACTTTTGGTAAGTCATTAAAGATTAAAGTAGCAATAAATGAAAGAGCCACAGGCCCAAATAAGAAAAAATATGACTTAGATTTGCTTAGAATAAAATAATGTATTATATATTTTAGATAAATCATTTATAAATTAAATTTTGACAATAGGTTAGAAAAGAGAACATTTAAACAGCATTTGTAAGTTGATTTATAAAGTGTTTGATAAAAATGGTCATCAGCAGGCATATTTCTGTTAACTTTTCTAAAAGTGTTAACAAATGCTATGAGCAGAAAATGTACAAAACAGCATAGAGACTGAAATGCCAGGAGTGTTCCACTTTAATATGTCAATTTTTTTGGGGGGGGGGAGGCAAGTGACCCTGTTCATGTTGAGAAGAGAACATCAGTGAAGAAGTCAACAGAGCCAAGAGTTCTCTCTTTCCTCTGTTGCTGCTTCACATGACTCTGGACTGCCTATAACATGCCTCAGTTCACCATGGAGTGTAAATGTCAGACTTTAAAAAGGAAGAAGTGCATTTCTTAATTTTTCAATTCAATTAATGTCCAGTATTTTTATGTGAAAGTTTGTGTTCTTTTTCTTATTTAGGTCACAAAATGTCGCAGCCCATCTGAGCTTATGCATTACCTTTCTTAAATTTCAAAGTGTTCCATGGGTTAAGCCTTTCTTGACCCTTGGAGTAACTCTCTACCAATGCCTAGTGTGTTCCCATTTCTTTATGATCCAAGTGCAAAATTCCACCTAGAATTTCCCCCACCTACAAACACCAAAAAATAATATTCAAGAATTCCACAACAAAACTTAATCATATTTAGTCAAATTGGAGATTCTGAAGTCCAGGAAGTTAAAAACTAAAAAAGAAAAAAGAAATATGTTAATGTGCTGTAATGTGAAATCAAGACTCAAATACTTGCCTTCTTAGCATTGTCTATGGACTATTTCCCCCTGCAGTCATGCACAACTCCCTAACACTACACCGTTCAAGAGTTAGAGTCTTTAGATTTAAGATCTTCATAGAAGGATATCTAATTGTTTTATTTATATATACATATATATAATTAGAAATATATATCCATAGAGATATATCCATATACTGTTAGATACGTACATGTATTTATGCATGTATATATGTATGTATGTATATACTTCAGATCCTGATTTCCTGCCCAGCATTCAATTAAGAGGTCAATATCATCTCTTCCTGTTGGGTAGTCAAGTCAGGTATAATTTTTCATAGGATCTCCTGTCTTTCTATATTTATTTATCACTTCTACCAATTTCTCAATAGATGTAATCTGGAGGAATGTGTTGCCTGAAATTTGCTACAGTTAAAATTTGTCTCAATCTCTGGCCTTTACCTTCCAAGTTTTTAGACTGCAGGCAAATTACTGCAGGCAAACTTATTTTTCAAAAAGTAAATTTGAAATTTACTTCCTCCTGTCA